AGTTTGGGATATTTTAGTCTTATCAGAATCAACCTCATTATAAACATTTCTCTCATTTCAAAATTACTGAATTAATGGAATGAGTAGATAAAGCCTTTTTCCCACCTTTCCAGAAGCAATAGTAGAAATGAAAAAGAATAAGGGAGTACATTATGGGTGACAAAAAGTCATTATGTAATTGTTTGGATGATTCACTAACAATGCACTGTTAGAAATACAATAGATGATGAAATGTGAATATTTCTGGATTAAATCACTTCAAACAATTGACAGGATGTCAGTTTATAACCTTGTCACCTTGATACTCCATTCACTGACCAAATAAATGTCTCCACAGTTCTATAAGGGTCAAGAACACCAAGTTGTTCATGTATGTATGTATGTATATATGTATGTATATGTATGCACGTGTATATGTATACACACACGCTATACATATGTGTCACAATACACTCTTTTGAGACAAAACATAACAAACCAAAGTAAAAACAAAATTTAGCAGTCACTCCTGGAATTAAAAGAGAAAATTCAGCATAATTTATTGCTTTAACAGGCATACCACACAGTTTTGTGTGGGAAAAGCCCCTAGAGAGGACATCAGCCTTCAGAGAAACAAACAAAATACTAAGTTGAGAACCGGTATCAACACAGATACAAAATAATTTGCTATTCATTAGTGGCCATTGGTTTTAAGGGTAGCAAACTCATTAATTAGGCATTTATTTATTTTGCTATTGTTCTTACTAATAGTTTTTTTAATGTTTTATCATGAATGAAACAATTACTAGTAAAGAATAATGATAATGCATCTATATTACACAAACATTTATATTTAACAATAGTGATTCACATCCAATGGACAATTTTGTAAGGTACTCCATGATAGTGACCAATAAAGGATGACAAAGGTGGAGCCAAGATGGCGGAGGGAAAGCAGTGACTTGCTAGAGCTCTCCCCCAAACCCCTCCAAATACCTACAAAAAATGGCTCTAAACAAATTCTAAAGCAGCAGAACCCACAAAAAAAAAGAGTAAAACAAATTTCCAGCCCAAGACAACCTGGATAGCTGATCGGAAAGGTATATCACGCTGGGCTGGGAGAAGAGCACAGTTCGGCGTGGGAACGCAGGCTGCAGCAACCCTGGAGCAGGCCTCAGAGGACTGAATCACGGGCAGCTGTGGTGGTTTTGAGACTTCTCAACCCACAAATGCCAAAGACAACTTAGAAGGTCAGTGGGAAAAGTCTGTTACTGCTGTGAGAGAAGAAGTTAGATCTTAGCCTCCCCGAAGGCAGCGGCTGGCTTCTGAGCTTCCAGCCCACAGATTGAGGGGGAATCAAGTGGCTGATGAGAGGGGGATTGCAAGAATCTCTTTGCCAGGGCTGAGGCAGGAATCTCTTGCTTTACCCGTTCTTGGATCTGGGTCATAGTTCTGAGGGGCAGTCCTGGGGTGAGGAGGAACGCTAGTCTGGTGGAGCTTGTTGTGGCAGTGGAGAGGAAACACCTCGCCCCTTATCATAGCACCTTGGAAGAACTGACACTTTTCAGGTCCCTAGAAGTATCTCTGAAAACAGCTGTACAAACCCCCAAAGCTTGGGAAAGTACATTCTCCACATTGGAAACAGACTCTTACCTTAACAAAGAGTTTAAAACTCAAGTAATTGGTTGGGATCATGAGCAAGCAGCTCAAAAAGAGTCAGACTATATTATCTTATTTTGGTGACAAAGAAGATCAAAACATACAACCAGAAGAAGACAACAAAGCCAAAGCTTCTACGTCCAAAACTTCCAAGAAAAATATGAATCAGTCCCAGGCCTTGGAAGAGCTCAAAAGGGATTTTGAGAAGCAAGTAAGAGAAGTACAGAAAAACTGGGAAGAGAAATGAGAGTGATGCAAGAAAATCATGAAAAGCAAGTTAACAGCTTGCTAAAGGATACCCAAAAAATACTGAAGAAAATAACACCTTAAAAAATAGCCTTACCCAAATGGCAAAAGAGGTCTAAAAAGCCAATGAAGAGAAGAATGCCCTAAAGAGCAAAATTGGCCAAATGGAAAAGGAAGTCCAAAAGATTACTGAAGAAAATACTTCCTTAAAATTAGAATAGATCAATTGGAAGCTAGTGACTTTATGAGAAATCAAGACACTCTAAAACAAATCCAAAAGAATGAAAAATTAGAAAACAATGTGAAATATCTCATTGGAAAAACAACTGACCTGGAAAATAGATCCAGGAGAGAGAATTTAAAAATTATTGTACTATCTGAAAGCCATGATCAAAAAAAGAGCCTAGACATCATCTTTCAAGAAATTATCAAGGAAAACTGCCCTGATATTTTAGAACCAGAGGGCAAAATAGAAATTGAAAGAATCCACCGATCTCCTCCTGAAAGAGATCTCCAAAGGAAAACTCCTAGGAATATTGTAGCCAAATTCCAGAGTTCCCAGGTCAAGGAGAAAATATTACAAGCAGCCAGAAAGAAACAATTCAAGTATTGTGGAAACACAATCAGGATAACACAAGATTTAGCTGCTTCTACATTAAGGGATCACAGGGCATGGAATATAATATTCTGGAGGGCAAAGGAGATAGGATTACAACCAAGAATCACCTACCCAGCAAAACTGTGTATAATTCTTCAGGGGAAAAAATGGTCATTCAGTGAAATAGAGGACTTTCAAGCATTCTTGATGAAAAGACCAGAGCTGAATAGAAAATTTGACTTTCCAATACAAGACTCAAGTGGAACATGAAGAGGTAAACAGGAAAGAGAAATCATAAGAGACTTATTAAGGTTGAACTGTTTACATTCCTGCATGGAAAGATGATATTTGTAACTCATGAGACCTTTGTCAGTATTAGGGTAGTTGGAGGGAAAAAATTATATGTATGTACATATATATATATATATATA